AAAAAAAAAAAAAAAAATCCCCTACTGCTGAAAAATGAAATAAGCTGAACCCTTACATTCGTGTTTTGGCAAAAGCACCATTTTAAGTATTCCCCCAGCTGAGAATATCAAGTTTAGAACACAAATTAAGATCAAAGATGAAACAGAAGGCCGGGGATTTAGCTCAGTGGCACCACGCCTGCCTTGCAAGCACAAGGTCCTGAGTTCGATCCCTGGTACGAGGGTGGGGTGGGGCGGGGCGGGGCGGGGCGGGCCCCAGCGGCTGCATAAGAGCCCGAGGCTGCGCGCCCAGCGCGGAAGACCGGCGCTGGAGCCCCTGACCGGAGCCGAGGACGGCTTCAGGTGAGGCCACGCCCGCACCCCAGGCCGGGCAGGACAGGCGTCGTGGGGGGCGCCGGCCCGAGGGTGTGAGGGATGGGGATGCGCAGGGCGAGGCCCCGGATCCAAGCGGCTTAGAGCGGCGGGCCAGGTCGCAGCCCCACTCCACAGCTCCACAGCGGGGCGCTCTTTGCCGCCCAGCAGCCGCGGGCTCTGACTGCGCCCGGGACGCCCTGCTCAGGGCGGGCTGCGTAGGTTACGGGCCGGGGTCCCCCGACCGGGGAGGCCCAGGCCTCGGGGTGCCGGTCCCCGCAGTCGGCGGGCCCGGCCAGGTCAGATCGCCCCACTGCCTGGCCCCGCAGCCCGTGCAGGGCAAGGCCCGCGGGGACCCCGACCACGCAGCGGGCGCAGACGAGGCGGCCGTGCAGACGCTCTTTGAAGAACTTACTGCAGTCATTTGAAAACTCTGTTTGGGGCTGATTTTGACTGCATAAATTTTGCTCTTTTTTCAGTACTTCCTGACTGGGGCATTAGTCACTGTTGCTGGGTAAAATACCCAGCGCACACAGCCGGGAGGAGGAGGGCGCACTTCGGCGGGAAGGCTGCCCGCCACAGGGGCTGGGACAGGGCAGGGTCGGCCGGGAGAGGCGGGCGTCCCGAGTGACCCCGAGGCCGGGGCTCTCCAGCCAGTCAAGCTGGAGAAGGATCGGCGGTTGCGGAGGAGTCCTGTGCCGCTCTGGTGACCTAGGGTCGGGGCCTGCGGGGAGGAACTTGCTCCCGGAGCGGAGCGGAAACCGAGGAAAGGCAGAGGTCGCACAGCCCGCACCTGGCCCAGTGGGTGTGGGAGCAGCAGCTGCAGCGCGTGCTTCGGGTCTCCTAGCTCCCTTAACCCTGACCGTGGCCGTGGGCGCTTGGGTCGCGGGTGAGTGCTGCAGGCTCACCTCTCGCCCAGGCACTAACCGCGTGCTTACCTGTGTGTTTCATGTTGGCTGAAGACCCAGGAGGCGCCAAGCTCCCCGACTCCGTCAGCCATGAGTGAGCGCAAGTGCTCCGTGGGACTCCTGTCCTCCACGGTGGCCCGGGCCAAGGAGCCCAACGCCTTGGGGCCCCGGGAGGTGGAGCTCGTCCTGGTCAAGGAGCAGAACGGGGTGCAGCTGACCAACTCCACCCTCATCAACGAGGCTCGCAGCCCCGCCGAGGCCCAGGAGCGGGAGACCTGGGGCAAGAAGATTGACTTCCTGCTGTCCGTCATTGGCTTTGCCGTGGACCTGGCCAACGTCTGGCGGTTTCCCTACCTGTGCTACAAAAACGGCGGGGGTAAGTGCTGCCCAGGCTCCGGCGCTGTCCATGGCGCGTACACGGCTGGCAGGACGCAGGGCCCCAGACATGCGAGCGCAAGCGGGGACTCAGCCCCTCCTGCACACACATGGTGCCCACTCCACCCCCGAGGCTTCCAGCTCTGACCGGGCGGGGAGGGGCCCAGGAGGAAGCACCGAGGCAGCTGGGCTGCGCCTTACACTTCCAACAACTTTCCCTTGGGAAGGAAAATTCCCAAGGCCCGTGGAACAGTGTGTGGTCGATGCCAACAGTGTGTGCAGAACGTGTGGAGGCCTTGAACTCGGGGTGGGGAGGGCCCACATGCGCCCATCTCACCGCCTGCCCCCGCCTCAGCTGGACGCGGAGCCAGGACTGCTTGGTGCCCCTCCCCCGTGGCTCCTGCCTGCCTGCCTGCCCTGCCTGGTCCCCGGCAGGGTCCCCAGGCCCGGCATTTGCAGGACTTCACCTGGGCATGCCCCTGGAGTGCCCAGGTGTGTGGGCCTCATGGCCCATCTTGGACCTGAGGAGCCTGGAGCAGAGCAGAGCCAAGGCAGGGCCATTCATCTCTCCAGCCGGGCAGGGAGACAGGAGGGGCTTGGAGGTCTGGCCACATGCCCTGCTGGCACCTGGGCGGCCCTGCTCAGCAGACCTCAGCCGAGGCTGCAAGGGAGGCAGGCTGTGAGTGCAGGGACCCACTGGTCCAGGAAGCCTGGGCACAGCGCCTGGTGACAACGGGGGTGCATGAGGGGCCAGCACAGCCCAGAAGTGGGTGGGGCCTCTCGCTCTGCCAGCGTCTGATTGTGACCCAGAAGAGGGCTGACCAGAGGGGTCAGGTGAGCGTGTGGGGTGCAGATGCCCCAGGGGACAGGCCTGGAGACGGTGGGCTCACCAGCAGGGCTTCCCCCTGGAGAAAAGGGTCGTGCCCACCAGGGAAAGCAGAGCCCCAGCCCAGAGATGAGCCCCGCCCACTGCAGGCCCAACACTCAAGGAGCTGTCCACCCACAGGAGCCTTCTTGGTGCCCTATCTGCTGTTCATGGTGATCGCTGGGATGCCCCTCTTCTACATGGAGCTGGCCCTCGGTCAGTTCAACAGGGAGGGGGCTGCCGGCGTCTGGAAGATCTGCCCCATCCTGAAGGGTAAGGCGCGCCCTGGGGTATGGGTGCATGGGCCTCAGAGTGTGCACCAGTCCTGCTTGCTAAGGCAGGAGGCACCTGCACCAGGGTGCTAACCTGAGTGCCGCTTTGGGGATGGTCCTGACCAGATGTGAAGGTGCCCTCGCTGGTGGGGACTCTCCTGCCTATCCAGCTTTATCATCTGTCACCCATCTGCCCATCATCTCTCTGTACACCCATGTCTTTTTCTGTCTCCACCCATCTATTTATCTATTATCTATCTCCACCCATCTGCCCAGCTACTCACTGAGCCTTCCAACCTGTGGTGCAAAGCTACCTTGTGCTGAGCCCAGGTGACCAGCCCAGCCATAGCCTCCCCCAGCATGCTGGGGTGCATGCTGTGCCGGAGATGCAGACTGCAGGCATGGGGGGCTTGAGTAACCCTGGGAGGAGCAGAGAGTGATTTGGTCCACACCTGTCCAGCTCCCAGCCAGGCTTGGCCCCAGGACCTGGGCTCTGGGAGCTTCAGGGCTTCCTGGAAGAGACTCGGGAAGCCGCCCCTCTGACAGGTGGCACCTAAGAAATGGCTCCTGAAAGATTGGGCTGGTTTTCTCATAAGCTCCCAAGCAGCTGGTGCCTGAGGAAGGGAATAGAGGCTGGCACCCCCAGGTCGCACTGTCAGGGGTCAGGGGCTCAGAGCCCAAGACCGGTGAGCAGGGCTCTTGAATGAGGACATCTCCCAGCAGTGAGATTGTGCTCCGAGAGGAAAGGTCCCCTTCCAGGGGACAGGTTCCCCGAGCACCACAGACACCCATGGAAGGTGGGCAGGCTCCTTGGGTCCTGAGGGCCCGTGCTGACCCCTCGACTGCAGCACCTTCCCAAGCTGGGCAATCGTTCTCCAGAGCACAGAGCCCCTGCTCACACCCTCAGGGCTGACGGGCGTGGGGGGTCCGGCAAGATCCGAGAGCAGGAGTCACAGTTTAAAAGAACCACCTGAGAAAGTAAAGAATAAAACAAAACACAACAGGCTGTGCAAATGCATCTCTGTTCCCACCGTGGCCCCGTGGAGGAGGCCTGGCCACCCGAACCCAGGACCTGGGATTCTACAGCCCGACACTCCAGGTGGGCCAGACCCTGCGCTGTCCACTCACTGCACGGTGTGGACTCGCCCGAGGTCTGTGGCCCAGACCTACAGCTCCAGGCAGAAGAATCGCCATGGCCCCCAGGTCTGGCCCCCCAGCTGCTGTGGTCCGGGAGCAGACGGCGCCTCTGAGGTGGTGGTGGCCCGGTGAACGAGGCCCAACTCCTGTTAGGTGGCGTCTGAAAGCTGAGCCTTCCGTGGAGCGGGTGTCAGGGACCGGGGAGCAGGTGCAGCCACACAGACTGGTGAGGCCAGGGTTTGCTTTGTGGGATTTCCCAGTCTCACCCCAGGGCACGTCTCGACAGCACCCTAAGCCCACACACTGCCTGGGAGCCAATGTTCTGTCAGGCTGAAGTGCTGCTCTACCCAGGCAGTGGTGAGGGATGCAGAGCAACAGGGAGAAGGGTGACCCGGCGCTCCAGCCAGAGCTGGCAGATGGAAGCTGGTGTCCGTCTGGATGTCACATCACAGGCACAGTGCTTCCCACCCAAACTGCCTCAGTAGGTCTTTGTCTTGCAATTTATAAACTGTCAAGATTTAAACCACCAGGCGATTCCCAGGGACTCCAGAACACCCCACAGTGCTGACAGACTTGACTCAGGACACAAGTGGACGAATGTCTCCCACAGGCAGGACAATGGCGCCCCCGTGGGGAAACGAAGACCAGGACATGCGACCCCCGCTCAGCGTGAGCCCGGGAGAGGCTGGGTGGACAGTGATCCACCCACCCGAAGCCCATGTGGCTTCCTGAGCCTTCTGCAGACAGGCCATCCAGAGCACTGTGCCGGGGCCAGTATGTCACCACGGGAAGAGCGCATCATCCTCGCCTCATCACCCATGGCCGTGGGCACCTCGCGGATCCCCAGATACGAGCACTGCAGCTCTGGAATCCGTGGGGGAAACCCAGGGTTTTCGAGAACTAATGCCGACCAACCACGGCTCCGGGAGGTGCCTCCTGCTGATTGGCCTGCGGCAGTGCACAGGGTGCCAGCGAGGTAGGAGCCATGGTGCCCTGGACACCCTGGCCCCTGTGCCTTCTCTCTTGCCTCTGAGGTCTGGTTGCTAAACTGTTACGTGTTTCCCATCCCAGTGAAATAGACACCCATGGTAAATGAAGACAGCAGTTAAATCAGCCAAAATAATTCCTGTGGAGCTCAATGTTCATTAGTTCCTCAGTGTCCTCTGCAGGTGGCTGGCATTCTGTGTGCTGCCCGGGCCTGGGCAGCATGGAGCCAGGTGCTGAGCTTCTCTCCCGAGAGCCACGGGACCTCCTGGGCGAGGGATGGACGGAGGTTCCAGCTGAGCCCGGCTGTGTTTGAGACTGTGATCACCGCAGTTCACCCCGGTGCCTCCAGAAGCTCCTGGCCGCCTTTCGCACAGACGCAGGCATCACGGGTCAGGGAGATGCGTGCTTAAACCTCAGCCTCTCGCTTCTCCCTCCCGCCCCGTCTCCATACCAGCCTCTCTGCTGTGAGCGTGCACGCACACGGCACACATGTGCACACCCAGCACCAAGGATGCCAGGGCTCTGGAGCGCCTCCCTCCTTCCCTTCCTCCTAGAGCCCCGTCTGGAGGCTCTCGAGGGGCCTGGGTCGGCAGTCAGAGTACCTGCTCCAGCTGCAGTCCCGGGGTGAGTGTAGGCGGTCCCCCATGGCTGGCTTCACGACGCGTTTGGGTGCTGAGTCTGGGTGGTGGGAGGAGCCCGGGTCCCAGCACCCATACGAGCGGGAAGCTCCCTTTAGGTCATCCGTTTATTTGCTCGTGACAGACTCTATTTTGCAGGTGTCGGGTGAAAACCCCACACCCTGCTGTATTGAACATCAAAATTCATAACCTTCTGTAGTAAAAGTATTTTACTGTGGCTTATCCATTCTAATAAAAAAGGATTTAAGGTGGCCTAAAGAAAAAGCAAAGTACACACAAGGTTAACATAAATATTCAGAAAGGTAGATATTTAAGAAAATTGGCAGTGCGCATGCTGCGTGAAGTTTACATCCAGCCCTGCGCTCCCTGAGACAGGAAACCATATTGTGCATTCGTTGAGATTCCCCTGGATGTGGCAGAGACTGAGCCCACTCCCTGCCTGGGAGATGGCATCCTGGCACTGAGCAATACAGAAGCGTCAAGGGAGCTTTATTACAGCATGTAGGGGTGTGCTGGACGGCAATCACAGGATATCCGGCAGCCTATGGGCACATGGCCACCTCTCACAGTCTCCCGTGACCCTGAGGAGCAGCCTGGCCAGGTAGGGTGGGCCGCTGGGGTGCCACAATTCATGGCACGGTCCGTGACTGAGTCTCTGCCTTCTTGGAGGAGTGTGCTCAGAGGGACCAGAGGCATGGCCAACACTTGCACCTCCTTCCTGGGACAGCAGTTTTCTCACACAGGCCCTGGGGGCCCGGGCAGGAGAAGCCTCTGAGACTTCACACTGTGCTGCATTGGCAGACAGGCACAGCATTCGCTCTGCCAGGGAAATCTCCATGGTGCCCTTTGGAATAGCATGACTTCCCAACCACAAAGCTTCCCGACAACATGGCTTCCCAACAACAGGGCTTCCCAAAATGGCCCTATGTATGAATTTTCTGTAAATCACAACGCAGCCTTTTCCCTGAGGAGCTTAGTGAACAGAATTGCAGAATAGAATTAACCAGTGTTGACCAATTTCTCACTGGAGGAGCCCTTTGGAAGGAAACAGTTTGGTCTTGTCATCACTACATCTGAGCACATTTTCCAAGGGGGACCTTATAGTCCTGACCCCACGTTCACAAATTTTAGTGCATTTTTGCTTTTAATTTTGCTTTCAAGATAGGAAGACAACTTTAACGAGTTGCCTTGAGCATAAAAACAGCTTCTCCTAGGACTTCTGACCATGAAAAGCAACCCAAGGCACTTGCTGAAGTCTCCTTAAAGATGTGCTCCCAGCCCACTGGGGCTCCAGACCAGCAGAGGACAAGCTGCCTGCTGAGCTTCACTAAAGGCCATGATAGGTGGAGCTCAGACCATCCTACTTGCAAAGCTGAAATGCTGAAATGAAGAGGATTCTGCCTGGAGCTGAGTCAAGAGAGCCACAGCAGCAACTGCGAGACCATTTGTCCAGCAGTGTATGAGGGTCCCTTGACCAGTGGGCGGAGCCTGTTAACTGCCAGGCCCACCTACCCACTAGTCAGGAAGGCACCACCCTGGGGACGCTCACATGGTGTCCTCCAGGTCACCGGGAGCCCCGTCAGGTGACTGATCCCAGATGCCAATACTCTGAGAGGATCTGGGTGGCCCTGGGTGGCCTTGAGAGCCCTAGGTGGTCATATGTGCCCTGGGTGGTCACAGATGCCCCAGACCCTACCTGGTCTTGCCTGGCCCGAGTGGCTCTTGGTGGCTGTGAATGGCTTCTCCTGGGTGGTCTGGGGCTGTGGATAGCCATGGGGCTCCCGGTGGTCCCTTAGTACTGTTGGTGGCTCTGGGAGAACTGGGTCCCCTTTGATGGCTCTGTTGGCATGGGTGTCCCTCAGTGGCCCTGGTTGGCTGTGGATGACTCTGGCGGTTTTATGTGGACCCAGTGGTCCCAGATGGCCCTGGGCTGGATTGCCTGCTGGCTCTGGGGGAGCCTGCGTGGTTGTGGTAGCAGTGGATGTGCCTTTCTCTCCCCATGAGGTCCTCACTGGCCCTGTATGGCTGTGGGTGGCCTTCGTGTGCCTGGGTGGCCCCGGATGAGCCTGAGTGTCCCTGGCTGGCCATGGGGTCCCTGGGGTGCAGAGGTGGCCTCACATGCCCTCCCACGGCCCTCCAGTGACGCCCAAGTGTCTATGGTGGGAGACGCTTTGGAAAGTGGGCAGCCACTTCTCTGTGCTCCCAGTGCGGACTTGGGCACAGACCCCACACGCCGTGTGGGTGCCAGGTGCCGCTGCTGGGTAGAGATGTCCACCCTGCGGGGCCAGTGGCTCAGTGCTCCGTGCTGCCCTGCCAGGAGTGGGCTTCACGGTCATCCTCATCTCGCTCTACGTGGGCTTCTTCTACAACGTCATCATCGCCTGGGCGCTGCACTACCTCCTGTCCTCCTTCGCCGCTGAGCTGCCCTGGACCCACTGCAACAACACCTGGAATAGCCCCAACTGCTCCGACGCCCCCTCGGCCAGCGCCCACAATGGCCCCGGCCTCAACAGCACCTTCGGGACCACGCCCGCTGCCGAGTACTTTGAGTGAGTGGGGGCGCGCGGGGCAAGGGCCCTGGGGCGGCGCCGGTCCGGCCGCAGCTTCCCTGTTGCCCCCTGTTCTCTGCCTGTCCCTGAGGGGACTCTGCTGCCAGGGGGTTGTGTGGTCAGCCGAGCCCCGCAGGGTGAGCCTGGCAGGGTGAGCCTGGCAGGGTGGACGTGGGCAGCCCTCACTGCTCGTCCTGCCCAAGTGAAGGACGTTCCCTTCTCTGTGAGTTTCAACACAGCCTCCAGGGAGAAAGGCACTGCTCCCCTTCCCAGACAAGGCTTGGGGTGTGCCGGCGCAGAGACCCCTCCCGGGCCAGCGAGTGCTGAGGCAGGAGGCTGCAGGGTCCTGTGGCCGGGAGCTGTGGGCCACGCAGCTGGACCCAGCTTGTGCTCGGCTGGGTTTCACTTACTGCACAGGCAAGCGGTCGAGGGCTTCCTGCTCGAGTGTCCTCATTTTCCTGTGGGTTTCGTCAGTTTGAGACAGCAGGAGTGACTCATCAGGGGGCCATCTTCTCTTTGGGAGGAGTAGAAACCTTTAATTTGCCCAAGTGGTTTTCAGGCAAGAGGACCAGAGAGAAAGCTGGTCGGTTAGGTGACCTGTGATGCAGGATCCCAGGAGGGAATGAAGTGCTGCTCTGAACGCAAGAGGTCCCCAACCCCTCGCTGCTGAAGGCCCTCGGCCCGGCAGGTCTGTGAGCCTGGAAGCACCCAGGACAGGGCTGGGGTGGGGAGCAGTGTCAGGTGGAAACAGGGTGGCACCATGCGCCCTCGCTCTGCACACGCTCGGGGTTTCCCAGGTGTGCGGCTGGGGCTCCCCAAGGCCACCTTGCGAGCCCACCCTATGCTGCAGGTCACAGTGGATGGGGTGGTGGTCCCCACAGACGGCCCCCAGGAGTTCTGTCCCACCCGAGGTGGAAGGGTTAGGATCTCACTCCACAGCAGGGCTGCGTGTCCGGTAAGGTGGACATCTCATCCGGGGGTTCCACATAGGGTGTGAGTCATGCGGCACGGAGGATTTGACACCTGGGCAGCAGATGGGAGAGGGACACTCGGGCAGGAATGGCCAGGTGCTGGTGCTGAGGGAGCAAGTGCCAGTCCATTCTCTGAAGCACCGGCCGAGCTGTCCGGGATGGGTGCATGCTGGGCAGCACTTGGTCACCCATGTCTACCGCACTGGCGTGGAGAGGGACCATGGTAGCTCATGGCACCAGCCCGGGGTCCCACCCAGCCACCCTGCTGCCACCAGGCAGAGACAGGAATGCCTCCCGCAGAGAAACAGGGATCCTCAGCGAGACCCTGGCGCCCGAGCAGTGCACACAGCAGAGCACGGAGTGCCCGCTGGCCCAGTGCTTCTTACCTGAGGAAACCAAACCCCATCCGTGTTCCTCCTCACTTCCTGCTTCCTTTCTCCCTTGTTCTAGCCCCCACCTCTCCAGCTTTCCCTCTCAGCCGGTGTCCATGGAAAAATACTGAGGCCCCAGGGCAGAGACCATGGCCTACTGTGAGTCGTGCAGGTCCTAATGACCCACTCCTCGAAGGGAGACCTGGGCCAGAAAGGACCATGTGACCCAGAACTCTGCACCTGCACGCACTCTGCCTGCTCTGCCTCCACCTACTTGCTAACGTCAATTAGGAAGTCATAGCCTGAAAGCTAGGAATTTGCCTCCAGGAGACTTCGTTGGCTGCACCTTGCTAAGTTTGATAGGTATTTTCGTTTTCATTTGGTTCAAAGGACTCCCAGCCAGGCATGGTGATGCACGCCTGTTGTCCCAACACTTGGGAGGCAGAGGCAGGGTTGCTGAGTTTGAGGCCTACATACATTTCTGTTACCAATTTCTAATTCGGTTTGGTTTTGTCTTGATGACATAAATTTTCAATATTTTAAAATATATTAAGATTTGTTTTCAGCATGTAGGAGGCTGAGGCAGGAGAATCATTGCAAGTTTGAGCCCAGCCTGGGCTACATCGTGAGACCCTGTCTCAAAACTTTTTTTTTATTTTGTGATCCACTTTATGGTATACAGTGCTGAAGGCTCCATGTGTACTTAAAAAGAATGTGCTTTTTGCCAGGCCTGGTGGTGCCCACCTGCCATGCCAGCACCCCGGAGGCTGAGGCAGGAAGGTCACTTGCACCCAGCCTGGGAAACTGAGAAATCCTGTTTTTTCAAATCATGCATTGTGCTGGTGCTGTCGTACAGAGCATTGCGCAGTGTCGACTGGGTCACGTGCCCAGTGTTGTAGTCATCTGCATCCTTCCCAGCTTTCTCTGTACTAGCTGTCTTAGTTACTGAGAAACGGGCATCCACGTCTCAGCTCCAGGCATGGGCTCGTCTGTTCCCACCAGGCTTTCTCTGTCCGTGGGTCTGGAGCTCTGTAGGAGGAGTGTGCCATTTTGGCGGTCCGGTGGGTGGGTTCCTCTTTCCAAAGTCTCCCTTGCCTGAGGGTAGTGTGTCCGCCTGGTCCTCAGGGCTGGCGTTTGGGGGGTGTCTCCTCCTGGCTTTCAGGTGTAAGCTGTGTGTGCCCTTGACGTGGGCTTCGTGTGGACACTGCACTTGGCTCCTGCTTTTTAACCGTGGGGCGATCTCTCTCTCAGTCTGACTGACCATGTGGCGATTGCCAGTGGGCTGGGCTTGCATCTCCCCTCTTGCTGTTTCTGCCCTCTCCTTTGTTCCTCTTCTTCCCTTTGTTCCCTTCTTCTGAGTTAACGGTGCCTAGGCTTCCGGTTTCTCCTTTGTCCCCTCCGCCTCTCGCTGAACAGTCCCTGCCTCTCATCTTTGGTGCACTGCCATCACAGGTCGGTCTCCACAGTGTGCTACGGACTGCGCCATGCGGTCTTATTATTTTTCCTTAAACAACTGCATTTTAAATACACTGAAGGCAGAGTCCCCGTCTTTGTGGGCCCCAAGTCATGGATCCTGGAAGGGCTCCTCTGTGGTCCTGATGGTACCGTTGTCCTCCTGCTTCTGCTGGGAAGTGCTTTGCCTTCTTGGTGGGGCGGTGCTCTCCATACAACACTACATCTCCCTTCCTAGTCACTTTGAGCGTGCTGCTCTGCGGCACGATGTACCGCATCCTCCCGGGAACGTTCCTGTCTTCCATGACAGAGCTCTCCCCCCTGAACCCGTCCCCGAGCCCCAAGCTCCTGCCACCCCCTTCTGTCCCTGTGTGACCTGCTCTGGGGACTCCTGCAGTGGGTCCCGCAGCCTCTGCCTTCGAGTCTGATGCGCTGAGCCTCTGTCTTCAGGTCCATCCTTGGCGGGCTCTCAGGGCATGGCGGGCGATGTCACACACTGCCCAAGCTCAGATAGACACGGGGGGGGGCGGTTGCTGTCTGGCTTCATGAGTGATGCAGCTATGACCGGTGCACAGGCATGAGTTTGAGATCCTGCTCTCCGCTCCTTGTGTGCGTGCCTGGAAGAGGGGCTGCTGCCTCACAGGAGTGGCCGGGTGCTTTTCTCAGCCCCTGCGCTGTGCTCCACGGTGGCCACTGCCTATCTGTTTCCCGTTTGTTTTGATGACAGCCACACTGTGGGCGTGGGATTCTCATGCAGCTGTGACCTGCAGCCCCAAGGATCCAAGGCATTGAGCACCCCGGTGCCACTGGCCGCCTCTCCCTGTCCCCGTGCTGTTTGCAGTAGAAGTGGAGAAGTATCTGTTGTTGAGTATCAGGAGCTCGGTCTATTCTGGGTGTCAGTCGCTTGCCAGAATGTGATTGGAAGGCATGTTCTGGGGCTGTGGCTTTTCCTCGGTTGTAGACTCCTGTGATGCACAGACATTTTTAAGCTTGATGAAGTCAGATTTACCTATTTGTTCCTTTGTGCAGTGGTTAAGAATCTGGGCCAGGTCTGAGTTCATGGAGTTAACCCCGTGTCTTCTTCCAGGAGTTTTATGGCTTCGGGGCTTACCTTTCGCTCTTTGCCCGTTGAGTTAATTTTGTATATGGGAAGACTGGCAGCCACTGCTTTTCCTCCTGAACTAGTCACATTCCCTCGCTTCTGGCCATGCTGCTCGTTTTATTAACGCGAGGCTGGGTGAGTTTCAGGGTAATGGCTTTGGAGCTTGGCCTCGTCCTTTAGAAGTGAGATTTCTTGGCTGGAAGGTGCTGTGTTCAGGTGCCGTCCGGCTGCTGCCTCTCGGGGCCTTTACCGCCTGGCCGTGGGGTGACAGTGAGCACACGGATCCGCCCGCTCACTGTGACTGGGTCCCCCGCTGTGGAGTGCCTCGGCCCGCCTGGGCTCCCTCAGCACCACTCCGTGGTGTGTGGTGTGCGGATTACAGGAGCTCTCTCAGGGCCCCTCTTCCCAGGACTCTGCCTGGCCTCCATGCTGGAGTGTGAAGGCCCAGATTCTCCATGGGGCTGAGGCCTGTTGGACTGGCTGGGCCACATCCAGCCTGGGGGTCGGCATCGTTTCCTGGGGAGCTGGGCTGACCCAGGTGGAGCGTGGGCTGCAGTGTCTTCTTCGCAGCGCGGCCCCCACTTTCCTGAGCGGGTGCCATGGAAAGCTCAGTGCCTCCCCGCAGCGTCCTGCAGGAGCCCTGGAATCTAGTGAGCTGCTGCACAGAAAGCAGCAGACGTTGCACCGGCTCAGCCTGTCCCCTCGTGGCCTTGTCCTCTGCCCTTGGGACGGCTCCCTGAGAAGGCACGTGAGGCCCGTGGGGCTCCCGGTCACCCGGCAGCACGGTTCCACGTCTGGTCGAGGCAGCAGGAGCTGAGGTTGATTTGGGTGTCACCCAGAGATCGGGGGCCTGAGTGGCGCCTCACTGCCCAGACACAGGCGCCTAGGGCACCAGGCCGGCGGCCAGCCCACGGAGCGGGGGTGCAGGCGCCACACGGCCATGGCTGTCACACCTCCCTCGCAGGCGCGGCGTGCTGCACCTGCACCTGAGCCACGGCATCGACGACCTGGGGCCTCCGCGCTGGCAGCTGGCGGCCTGCCTGGTGCTGGTCATCGTGCTGCTCTACTTCAGCCTGTGGAAGGGTGTGAGGACCTCAGGCAAGGTGAGGCGCGGGCGCGGGGCTGGGCTGACACTTGCCGGGCCTGGGAAGGGTCTGGCGTGGGGGGGCGGGCAATGCGCTTCCCTTTCCCGATGGGGCATGCGGGCCGCGTAGGGCACCCACGGCCGCCTCGCCCAGAGGACCCGGCCCGCAGCGGCCGCAGTGTGCGGAGCCTGGCCTTGAGTCCTGGGACGACAGCACCTCCCACAGGGCGCCCGAGCCACAGCCCGCCTCTGCGTCCACGCTGTTCCTGCCCGGCTTTCCCTCGCCGTCCCTTTGGGCCTGCAGCACGGCGCCCCTGCCCAACCAACCCACTGCAGCAGAGGGCGCCACTGCCCGGCCCGCCACAGGTGGCTGAGTTCTGCCAGCGTCCCTCCAGGCTCCGCTGGCCCTGGCAGGTTGGGCGAGTGCCCAGGGACGCTGTCCTCTCCCCAGGTCGTGTGGATCACAGCCACCATGCCCTACGTGGTCCTCACCGCCCTGCTCCTGCGTGGGCTCACCCTCCCGGGGGCCATCGACGGCATCCGGGCCTACCTGAGTGTGGACTTTCACCGGCTGCGTGAGGCCTCGGTGAGTGCACGGTCAGGGAGCTCCCTGGGCGGGCCGCAGCCTCACAGGGTCCGCCCCGCCGGAGCTGACTTGCAGGCCGCCTCCCTCAGCGCCCCCAGCAGCTGGGAGGACAGCCGTGCACCGCACTGGCGAGTTTGAGGTTTTAAAGCCACACTGACGCAGTGCGAGCACGCGGCCCGAGCCAGGGGCCTGTGCGTGGGCGCGCGCCTGCCTCAGGTGGCCCGGGGCTGCCTCCAAGCGCGAGGGAGGCCGGGGAAGGAGGCTGAGCGGGTCAGGGCGCACGCGCGTGGAGGAGCCGACGCTGCGAGGAGGCTCGTGCAGGCGCCCTGCCGGCTGTGTGTGCTGCTCGCGGGCCCAGGGCGGTGGGTGAAGGGCACCAGGGGAGCGTGCGGCTCGGCAGGGGAGGTCAGCTGCCCCCAGGTCCCCTAACCTGGCTCTCTCCTGGCTTGCAGGTGTGGATCGATGCCGCCACCCAGGTGTGCTTCTCCCTGGGCGTGGGCTTTGGGGTGCTGATCGCTTTCTCCAGTTACAACAAGTTCACCAACAACTGCTTCCGGTAAGCTCGCCCCAGGGCCTGCAATGACTGCCACTGCAGGTCCCTGCTCAGAGACCATTCCTGGAGACAAAAACCCGGTTCGGGCCGCAATCCTCCCTGCCTTGAGGAGGCCGCTGAACTGCGTGGGGTGTGTCCCCTCCGGGCGGGCCTTCCTGGAGCTGTGGGGGACCCCACGGTGAGGCCCGCTCCCCTCTCCCGCCTGGCCGCCCCAGGAGCACAACTCTCCTGCTCACCGACAGCTTCACCCCACCCGCCAGAGCGGGTCTGCAGCCTTGTGCTGGACCCAAATTCTCCTAAACACAGGAACAGAATTAAATCTGAGACCTGCTTTCTCTGACCTTTATGGGCTTGTGTTTACTCTCACATCCTGAGGATAAAAACGCACTAAAAATACAGACAGCGCACAGCTAAACGAGCAGACAGCCGCTGCAGGCTCCCCAGCGGGGGTGTGGGTGCAGGTCCCAGATCGCCCTGCCCGGCCACCTGTGTCCCCTCTGTGGACAGCGTCCCAGTCCTCCCCCTGCAGACGTGCCAACGGGCACCTGGACGGCAGCAGCCCCCAGAGGCACCCCTGTGCCCCAGGCTACCCCACTTCCCTCTGGCCCTCGGGTTTCTTAGCCCTGAGTGGGGTCCCCGGAGCCCACTGTGGATAGTCTGCATTTCACCACAGTCCCCGTTTTATGTGTATGTGTCGGTGTCTGCCCCACCCTCAGCCCTGACTGTACCCCAGAGCCAGGAGCCCCCACATGGCCCCAGGTCGGGCTGCAGAACGGTGATCAGCTTGTGCGTGTCCAGGAAAGCAGCCCTCCAGACCTCTGTGGGGCCCAGACCCAGCGACGTAAGGCCAGCAGCTGGGAGGTGGTGGGCTCTCACGGCGGCACCAGGACGCTGGTCTTGTCTTGCAGAGACGCAATGCTCACCACCTCCATCAACTCCCTGACAAGCTTCTCCTCGGGCTTCGTGGTCTTCTCCTTCCTGGGGTACATGGCCCAGAAGCACAGCGTGCCCATCGGCGACGTGGCCAAAGACGGTGAGCCCCTCCCACCCCTGTGCCAGCTGCGTGCAGCCTGTGAGCAGGTGGCCGTGGCCCTGGGTGTAGACTGGGGGCTGAGCTCCCCCGCACCACCCCGGAGCTGGTGTCCAGGGGGACCATGGCCAGTGTCGCTGCTGACTGATCTCCTCCTGGGTCTCAGGCTTGGGAAGGGGCGTGGGGAGCTGTGGACCATGTTGCCTGTGCCCTGAGGACCAGGGTCAGCCTTGATGGCCCTGCTGCTCCAGGAGAGCTGAGTGCGAAGGCCCCACTCCACAGGGAGGACACGGGCTGGGGCTGCAGGAGAGAGATCAGGCTGGGCTGACCCTCCTGGCGTCCCTGAGCCTGGGGCTCCCCTCCAGTCAGAAATCCAGTAAAGGTGGGAGAGGAAGCAGGATGCAAATCCATCCAGAGGTGAACTTTCCTCATTGTTGCTCTGCCCTGTATTATGATAAGCAGCCTTCACCCTGAAACTCCAGTGGCCCCTGGAAGTGGAGCAGCGTCCTCCCTTCATTTCCTGATCGCAAAGCAAATGTCATTGGTGCAGAGAGGTCGCTGCTGTCTTCATCCCCACAGAGTCTGGAAGCAACCTTCCCGGGCTCACGGCTGGCGGCATTTAATCTTCAGTGTGTGCGTGTGTGTGTGCGTGTGTGTGTGTGCACCTGGGGTGTATTTGTGCATGTGTGAGTGTTCCAGCACATGCTTGTTCCTGTGTGTGTGCACATGAGAACTTGCTCATGTTTGTGCATGTGTGTGCTTGCTCATGTGTGTGCATGCTTGCGTGTGTGCACGACTGCTCACTTGTGTGTGTTTTGCATGTGTGTGTGGTTACTCCCGTGCATGTGTGCGTGCACACGCATGCATGTGTGTGAGTGTGCGTGTGCATGCGTGTGTGTGTGCGTGTGTGCGTGCTCACAAGATGCACCCAGGAGCACCACGTGGAATGAGGCCGTGGCATTAACAGTGGTTCTGGGACCACTCCAGAAACCCCTCCTGTGCCCACATTCCAATCCCTGTCTTGAGCTTTGCCCTCCTGGTGCCCATGGCCTGGTGTGGGTGTGAGTGAGTCGCAGCGAGGTGGCTGGGCTGGGGGAGGGGCCCGCGCCCGCATGCAGGGTTCAGGGTGTTCCCTAGAGCCCTGGGCCCAGGAGAGTGAGGGATGGTGAAAGGGCTCCTACTGATCTGGGCCGGAGTGCACCCCAGCCCCTGTCTCTGTGGGTTCTAATTGCAGGCCCCGGGCTGATCTTCATCATCTACCCTGAGGCCATCGCCACACTGCCGCTGTCCTCGGCCTGGGCAGTGGTGTTCTTCATCATGCTGCTCACCCTGGGGCTTGACAGCGCTGTGAGTTCTGAGGCTCGGGGTGCGGGGCCGGGTGGGGGCCCTGCCCACTGTGCAGGCGGGACCCTCTCTGGGCCAGGTGCTGGCCACTGGAGTTGAACTCACCCTCTCTCCCCCTGAGCATCAGTGGGCCCTGCCTGGGCACCAGGGCCAGACTCAGAGTGATAGTGACTGCCCAAGGGGATACAGCGGGGCACCCTCCGGGGCCTCCAGACCTCTGGGAAGGAGTGGCGGCAGCACAGCCCAGGCTCAGTGTCTTGGTGCCACCCGTGGTGCCCAGCCCACTGCACCCTTGCTCTCTGGCTCTGCCCTCCCCACCAGGTGGCACCAGGACCGGCCAGGGCCGGGGGCTGCCCCATGTCTTTGCCCACCCGATGGGGCTCAGGGTGTGCTTCCTGGAGTAGGGGGTCCCCCAGGGCTCCACCATGACCCCTCCCAGGGTCACAGCCTGCTGGGTGGACCAGGGCCCTCCGAGTCCCTGTGTCTGTGCACCAGGAGCGTGGCCCATTCACTGTGCTCACAGGGCACACAGTCCCCAGGCAGTGCCGTGTGCTCTGTGTGGCCCCACCCCGCCCAGCAACCTCACCGCAGCGGGGTCACCCCAGGCCCCTCTGAGGGCTCTGTCACGAGGGAGCCCGGCTGGGCTGCAGTGCAGGTGTCTGCTCCCGTGCATCCAGGACGTGACCCCGACCACAGGTAAGTCCAGCCGTGTCTGTGCCCGCAGATGGGGGGCATGGAGTCCGTCATCACTGGGCTCATCGACGAGTTCCAGCTGCTGCACCGGCACCGGGAGCTCTTCACGCTGTGCATCGTGATGGGCACCTTCCTGCTGTCGCTCTTCTGCGTCACCAATGTATGCGCCGCTGCCTGCTCGCACTGGGGCCCATGGGGCGGGCAGCTCAGCATCAGAGGCTGGGGAGCATGAGCGAGGGGTGAGGCCCGAGTGGCCCAGAGCCCGGCTGGCTGGGAGGCCCTGGGGAAGCCCCACAGTGGCACGTGGGGCCTTCGGGGCGGGGCGTCCCCTGCCTGAGGTGGCCAGGGGACATGGGATTGGGCCTGCAGTGGCCGCTACCCCTCGGCAGCCTGGGGCACGTCTGCTGGCCAGCTGTTTCGGGAAAAGCCCTTTCCAGGCAGGCTACGCAGCCAGCCCCGAGCTCACCAGGCCCCTCTTCCAGGGCGGCATCTACGTCTTCACACTGCTGGACCACTTTGCAGCTGGCACGTCCATCCTCTTCGGGGTGCTCATCGAGGCCATCGGGGTGGCCTGGTTCTATGGTGAGTGTGGCCAGGAGGCTGGCACGGCGCTGCCTCTGGCTTTCCCTCTGGCGCAGCCACCTTGACAAGAGGTGTTCAGGCACCGGGGAGCTTGAGCTGTGTCCGCCCGGTGTGGTGGGCTTGGCACAGCCTGTCCAGCTGGGTGGGTGCAGTGTGCGCTCTGGCCTCGTGCACTGGGGCACAGTGGGGCTGCTCGGCGGGGCCCCGTGTGTGCTGAGTGGCCACTGTGCCCGCGCGGCTCTGCAGACAGTGCTGCTGCTCGGCGGGGCGGGGCGGGCTGGCCGGAGGACAGTGGCCCCGAGAGTGACAGGAGCCCGGTCCGGCTGCGCACTCACGTGTCAGGACTGTGGCACCAAAGGCAGTCAGGCAGCGCTGCCCCCGCGTGTGGCCACCGTGCCGAGGTGGGCACAGGGCCAGGAGAGCAGGCTGGTGCCGGCCGGGCCTCTCTCACATCACTCTCCATCCTCTGTTCCGTACCACGAGGCTCGGTGCTGGCCTGCCTCAGCCTCCGCAGGGCCTCTGCCGAGGGAGCTGGCGCTGCCCTGCACCCCCACTGCCCTCCAAGCCCCTTGCCCAGGAGGACTCCCGGTGCCCTGTGTGCCCGGTCACGCTCTGCCACCACCAAGGCAGGGAGGCGCCCGCCCAGCCACCCAGGGCCCTGCGCGTGCCCCCAGATGGCAGTCACACAGCAGCCTGACTGCAAGGTCCCCAAAGCTCGGCACAGCGCTGAGCCATGCAGCAGGCGGCCGGTGGAAGGGAGCCGTGTTCAGATCCCATCACCAGTTCCTCCGAGTTAGATGAGAGTACTGAAGAAAAGCCCGCCTGCCTAAAGCAGGCCCTGGGGTGTGGCTGGAGAGAAAATGCCATTCGTTACATTTCCGGAAGTCACTTCGCAGCACCAGTGGTGCCCTTCAGCCTTCCAAGGGGACAGGGGCCCTGCCACACAGCACTGTGACTGACGTGCAGGAATCTCGGGCACTCTGCTGAGTGGCAGGCGCCAGTGCCCCAGGGCAGACACAATGACAGCTGAGGCTGGCGGGGCTGAGGAGGGGTGCGCAGTGGTGCATAATGGGGCAGAGCTGGGACAGTGAGCGAGGCCAGGGCACAGCGTGGTGGCAGCGTGAACACACGTGACGCTGCCGAACCCGGCACCTACGAAGGTTACAGTGGTAAAGTGGTAATTGGCGCATCGTGCCATGGATTTTAAAAAGCGGAAAAACACCAGTTGCCGAGGGAGGCGGGGCATGGGAGGAGCCCTCCAGGGTGTGGTCGGGGCCCAGGCCCACCGCACAGCTGCCCGACGCCTGCCCACCCGGAGGGCCGCCAGGGCTGGGCCTGCGCATGGGGTCCGGTGGCAGCCAGGCCCGGGGTGCTGGGCTGGGGCCCCTGCGGAGCCTGAGTGTGACCGGGCTTGGGGTCCACGGGCGGGGCCGGGACAGGAGCTTGGGCTGTGTGGCCTGGTCAAGGTCCTGACGCCTGTGGCCCCACCTCCCCAGGTGTCCAGCAGTTCAGCGACGACATCAAGCAGATGACGGGGCGGCGGCCCAGCCTGTACTGGCGGCTGTGCTGGAAGCTGGTCAGCCCCTGCTTCCTGCTGGTAAGGCCCACGTGGCCGGTCCTCCCACCCTGTGCTCCTGGCCATGCCCACCCCAGTTTCCCCAGGTCCCCGCTGGGCAGGGGTGTGCTGCACGCATCTCTGGTCGGATGGCAGCTTCCCTCTCCCCGGGGACCCCAGGAGCAATTCACATGTGATCCAGGCACCCCGACATCTGTGTGGGAGAGGCAGGAGCCAGCTGGCGGTGCGCTGCCTCTGGTGGGCGGGTGGAGACAGGGTCTGGCTGATGAGCACTGGCACCCCAAGGACAGGAGTGGCCCCAGCTCCACCCCGTGGTTCCCTGGGTCCTCCTCAGGTGGCCAGCAGTCACCTGCTTTATGCTGTAGGCCAGGGGTGGCTGGACAGAGTCCCTCAAGCTCCTGCCCTGAGTCCACAGTTGTTGGAGCTGCCTGGGGCAAGGCGGGGACTTGGGCCAGACCCCATCGCAGAGTGATGCTGGGGCCAGTCCCAGGCCAGCAGGGCCTGTGAGTGAAGAGCCCTCATCTTCCACCTGAGCCAGACTCTCAGCCACTGAGCTCCCGGGGTGCTGGGTGCAGGGAGAGGCGGCAGACAAGCCCATCCTCGGGGTTCAGAATGGAGCGGGAGAAGCCCCAGGTACGCCCAGGAACTCGCAGCAACTGGGCTCCAGCTCACATGTGTGGCCACGTGACAGGAGTGTCCCAAGCCAGCCCAGGGCAGCCCTGTGCTCATCAGTGTCCTGGGCAGGAAATGCCCTGTGAGGGCCAGCAGGTGCCCCAGGAAAGTGTGTTTAACTGTAACACTGAGCACGGTGCTCAGCAGGGTGGATGGTATGCACGGAGGCACAGTATGTGTGTAGGTGCGCAGTGCCCGTGTAGATGTGCAGTGCCCATGTAACATGCAGTGCGCGTGTAGGCTTGCAGTGTCCATGCAGGCGTGCAGTGCCCATGTAGGCAGGCACTACGCATGTAGCTCAGTGTGTGTCCATGCGCATGGGTACAGAGATTGTGTTTGAAGAAGCGTGGTGCGTGTGTGCTTGGTTAGCCAGCCAGCCAGTGCCCTGGTGATGGGAGCCTGTCCTGCTGTCACAGCAGTGCTGAGGTCAGCTCTGGGGTTTGTCACTTCCTCAGAACACACAGAAGCTGCCTGGGTCCAACACAGGCTGCAGGTTGCACGTGGTGCCCAAGCAGTGCCCTGAGCAGCAGCTAGCTCTGCCAGGCTGTGGTGTCAAGTGAAGGACGGGGAGGACTGGACAGCTCTCCCTGGGAGGACGTGCCCACCCAGTCCTGCCCTCTCACCCACGGGGCCCTGGTGGTCCACATGGCAGCGCGTGTGGCTGAGGCCCACTGCTGGCCCTTGCCCCGAACCTCGGGACCGTGCTGACATGTGTCCTTGGTTTCAGTTTGTGGTCGTGGTCAGCGTGGTGACCTTCAGGCCGCCCCATTACGGGGCCTACATCTTCCCCGCCTGGGCCAACGTACTGGGCTGGGTGGTTGCCACCTCCTCCATGGCCATGGTGCCCATCTACGCGGTCTACAAGTTCTGCAGCCTCCCGGGGTCCTTCCGGCAGGTGGGTGTGTGGGTCCTGCCTGGCCTCTCACTGACCGAGGGCAGTGGTCGGGATGGCCTCCCTGGCCCCATCTGCTGCTGCCCACTCTGGGGCCAAGAAGGACAAGCAAGGGAGGCTGGCCAGCAGGGCAGTGGGGCAGCAGGAGGTGTGCACATGGCCCTGTTTGTCCATGTGTGTGGCTGGCGTCTGTGCATCCATGTATCTGTGTGTCTGCTTGTGCCTGAGCGTGTGTATGCCTGGGTCTCTGTATGTGTTTGTGTGTGCCTTGTGTATCTGTTTGCCATGTCCATGTCTCCATGTGCACCTGCTTGTACATTCATATGTCCATGCATTTGTGTGTGCTGTATCTGTGCCTGTATGTTCATTGTCCACATGCCTGTGTGTGTGGCATCCATGTGTTTTGTGTGTGCACGGATGTTCACCGGGTCCACATACAACAGTCTGATGTCTGCAGCTGAGCTGGTTCTGGGACTGAGTGGCCCTGGCATAGCCCTGGCTCAGAGCCAGGCTGTCCTGGGTGCTGGGGCCGACCTCCCTCCCGCTGGGCCTGCTCCATGGACAGCAGCTCCCAGATCCCAGGCCAGCCCCCGGGGAGTGGGGCAGAGAGGCCCCGGGGATGGGTGCCTCCCCAGAGTCCGCCTCTCAGACCAGGCCCTGGGCCCCAGCACGGTCCCACAAGGTAGGTGTGAGCCCTGGGGCTGCCAGCCTGAGTTCAGGACCTGGCCTGGGGCTCTGCGTGTGACCACATGCCCACTGTGCCCCTCTGTCCCAGAAACTGGCCCAGGCCATCACGCCCGAGAAGGACCGCGAGCTTGTGGACCGAGGGGAGGTGCGCCAGTTCACGGTGAGTCCCTGTCCCCGCCTTGGGAGGCTCCAAGTGACCCGAGTGCGGTGCCCTTGCCCGTGGCTGCTCCTAAGGGCTCGGGGCCTGTGTTGCGGGAGCAGCAGTTTGCCACTCACGGGAGCTCTGGGCACCAGGGATGGAGGCCAGAGGGCAGCAGGGCAAGCAGAGCCAGGGTGGCACTGGGGGACCCCGCAGGAGACCCAGCAACCGAGAGGATCAGCAGGGGCGGGGGCGGGGGGCTCGGGGGAGCTGCACTCTGTCCCCTCGCTCAGGTGCCTGGCCACGCTGTGCATGTCTGCTGTGGCCACGGAGAGGCTCTGAGAGCCCCTGTCCCTCCCACAGCCCAGCGTCCAGGTCTGCCCCACTGCAGGCCCAAGAGCTGGGCGAGGCCACACCCCACCAGCAGACTCGGGCCCTGAGCGCAGGGAGAAGGTGCGCACTCGGCCAGGACGCAGTGCCCACGGCCGCTGGGTGGTGTGGCCCTGCGCCTTCCTGCCTGGCCGCCTCCTCCCTGGCAGTGGAGGCAGGGGCTGCCCTGAGCATGCACGGCTGGCACGAGTGGCAGTTGGGGCTGGCAGCAGGTGGGCAGGGAGGCAGGCAGTGAGGGCTATGGACCCAAAAGAGGTGAGCCACAGGGCAGCTCGGCTGCCCACACCCTGCCACCTGGTCCCCTTGGCCTGGCGCTGGTGCCGGCTCTGCCTCCAGGGTCCCACTCAGCCCCCTCCTCCCGGAGCCGCCGTCCAGGACCCTCGAACGGCTGCTTTCTCCTCCTCTCGAGCTTCTCAGTCTGGGCCTCAAATCTCATTTTCAGCCTATTCCCTTTCTTATTCAGCATGCAGGGCTATTTCCTGCCTTCCACAGGCTTTGATAGCTTTTTTATAATTAGTTTGAAATATATTTTAATTCCCAGTGTGACTGCTCATAACCTGCATGGAAGTCTGCTTGGAGACTTCTCAGTGCCGTACCAGAGATTGGACCTGGCCCTTCACACTGAGCTACACCTCCACTCCAGCGCTTTTTCATTTTTTATTTGGAGACAGGGTCTCACTAGGTCACCTGGGTGGGTCAGACTTGTGAGTGTCCTTCCTGCCTCAGCCTCCCAGGGGATTCACCTCTCGTTGCTCTCACGTGGCTGCTTTGTGCTCAGACACCAGGTGCCCATTCTTGGAAATGTCCTGGACTTCTCAGGGGCCTTGGCCCAACCAGCACGACAGGGCTCTGCGCGTTTGTCGGTGACAGCACATTCTCTGCCCGGGGGCACGGTGCTGCCTCTGCCTCGGAGCAGGCTGCCCCGGCAGCATCTGCATCGGCCCCCAGATCCTCCTGTAATCTGCTAGCTTGGCCCTCTGGCCTGTAAGCTCAGCTGTAGGTGTCTTGAAAACCCGGCCCAGGTGGAGAATCCCGTCTCCCAGCTGGGCCGTCCATTCCCCTGCACTGTGAGGATCATCTCCCGGAGCTTGGTGCCACTGGCCTTTCGTTCGGTGGACCCCAGTTTGTGCACGTACTCCCTCCTTTCTTCTTTCTGGGGACTCATTTTTGTGTTTTCTCATTCTCTCACCTCTCTCTGCTGCTCAGAACCCGGTGCCTGGTTGCCTGGCAGTCGCCCTGCAGCGGCACACACCCCACTGTAGGCCTAACGCAGTCCCCGCTGAGCTCAAGGGCTCGAGTCTTCCTTCCGCTGACTGCTGTGTGGGAGCCCAGGGCCCTCGCCTGTGTCTGGCACGAACGGGGCCCTGTGCTGTGCTGTGCTGTGCTGTGTTGTGTTTCGTGCCCACACACCCTGGTGGTGCCGGCCTCACTAGTCCGAGGACCTTGCCTGGCTTTTCGCATCTGCACGAGCCACCCTGCGTGACCCTCCTGCAGAGCCCGCATGCGTGCCGCATCTCCTGTGCTCGCGGCTGCAGGGACGTCTGCCCCTTGCCATCCCTCCCCGCTGCTCCAGGCGTCTGTCCTGACACAGGTTCCCTGGTCAGGTGGTTTCACCCCGGTGCACGCTCTGAGCTTCTCTGGCCACACTCTCAGGAAGCAGCTCGCGTCTGCAGCTGATGCAGTTCTGAGACCTTCGCAGCCACGCTGAAATCTTGCCTTTGCTGTCATGTCCCCTTGGGGTCTCCTACCTCGTGGGGATTGGGTTTCAGGGTTTGCACTTCAGGGCCACATGTGGCTGTTTGTCCGTGACTTCTTAGCCCGCCCAGTGAAAACCAAACTGGCACGGCCAACACCTCACCCTGCCACCCTGTGTCCTTTCCTGAAGCCACAGTCTCGGCCCCGTGCACATCCTTCCTGGCCCTGCCCACCTCAGCGGCTTGCTGTGTGGACAGATGATGGGGCATGGGTGGGTGGACAGTAGATAGACAAATAGACAACAGATAGATGACAGAAGATAGCCGATGAGGGACAGGTAGACTACAGATGATAAATGCTTGATAGACGACAGATAGGAGGTAGATGAAGTGATTTCTGTATTCCTGGAAAGTACAGTATTTGGTTTTAGTTCTGTTGTGTCATTATTGGTTTTTTGCAGTTCTAGGGATGGAACCCAGGATCTTCACACTGAGCACATCCTCAGCCCTTTTTATAAATATTTTTTATTTAGAGCTAGGGTCTCACTGGGTCACAGAGTTGCCCAGGCCGGGCAATCCTGCCTCAGCCTCCTGGAGTGCTGGGATAACGTTGCAGGGCCTGTCCCACTTGGTTGCGGTGCTTCTGACTTGGTGGGAAAGCATCCTGCTGATCTGCTGTCTCGGGCTTGGCTTCTCCTGTTCACCACCCGCACCTCACATTTCTGGTGCCCCGTTCAGTGAGCTGCCGAGTTCATTGTTTCCGCCCTGTCCTCTGCCCCAGCCCTTTCAGGACCCAGCCGTGTGTGCAGCTCCCAGGGCCCTCCGGTCTGTACCCCGTCTCCCACGGTGGCGGCACCTCTGCCGGGCCGCGTGTTCTCCTGCTTCCTGGGGACCCCCGTCCTCGAGGTCCTCCTGCCCGGGTCTCAGTTGGGGTCCTGGCTCCCTCGACACCGCACTGGGCTGCAGCTGGGCCTCTGGTTGCATCTGCGCGTGACCTTCGGGGATCTGGGCGTTGCCCCGGCACCCACCCTCCAGTGTCCTCTGCTTCATCCTGCGGGCTGGGTCCCGGGCCAGTGCCGCCAAACCCTGGCCTTGTTGTGGCGTCCCATGAGCATGGTGGAGCCAGCCACACGCCCGCCACATCTGGTGCACTGTCAGGACAGCCCTCTGCTTGTCCTAAGTGACGCAGCATGGTCACCCTCGAGGTCTGTGCAGGGCTTGTGCCCAGACAGGCTGGACAGGCAGATGCGGATGGCAGGGTGATACCTGCTGGCAGCCAAAAAGCTGCTCCTGGGGTTCCTCCCTCCCCAGGTGGTGCACAGGGGCAGGTGCTGGGGTCGCGCACTGCAGCAGCGTGGACCAAAGCCCTGAGCACGTGGGGGTCGGGCCTAGGCCCCCGGGGAGGGTGCCCCGCACGGTGCTGCCTTCACTTCTGAGTCACCCCATTGCTTTCCAGCTACGCCACTGGCTCCTGGTGTAGTTCAGCAGCCACCTGGCCAGCCGGGCGAGTCCTCACCGGGGAGGTCCGCGAAGAGCACTGCGTCCACCCTGGAGCCCCGGCTTCGCAGACAATCGCCCGGCGGACCTTCCATCCGGTGTCACTGTGAGGCCGACTGTCCCCGCCATGCCCGGCCGTCCACCCCGCGGCTCATGCACCCGCGTCCCTGGGAGGTCTCGCCAACTGTACATATGCTGTGCCGGCCCCTGTGCCCCGGTGCCCGGTCGCTGGTGTGGCTCAGATTTAAAAGCCAGGCCCCCCGCCTTGTCTGAGCAGGCAGACGGGAGGGAAGGGGCCGTAGTGCAGAGTAGTGACGGAGGGTGCTACCCGCTGTCACACACGTGGGCTCCGCCCTGGGCCGCCAGGACGAGGGGCTGGGTGTGCGACAGGACTCATTCCTTCCCTGCAGCCGAGAGGACCAGCCCGCGAGGACCCAGCTCGGGCTGCTGCAGTCCTGCCCGCGGGCTCCTGCTCGGCTGCCAGCCCCACCCACACCCACTGTCTGCGGCCTGGGGTCTCGGCACGCATGGCACTGGGACGCTTGGCCCGCTGGGGACTGGCGTCTTGAATCCTCCTTATCTGTGTCGAAACATGCGGCTCCTTTCTGCAGACCCGTTCGCCGTTCGCCGAGGTTCTGGGTTTGTTTACAAGAATAATCAGCAATAGCGTGACGGCCGAGGCGGAGACCTCCTGCTCTGGCTGCCCTTCCTGGCACACGGGCCGCCCGGTTCACCCCGGGTCCTGCCGTGAGGCTGAGCGAGGCCCCCCCTACGTTGTGGCGCAGAGCGCGGGACGCAGGCCTGTGGGCAGCCAGGTTGTCGGCAGCCGCGGCTGAGGAACCAGGTTCGCTGGCTCCCTCCTGAGGAGCGGCTCCATGTGGGAACCAGGTGTTGTCGGCCTCTGTCTCTGTCCCTGTAGTCAGTTCCGTGTGTGGGTCCTCGTGAACAATAAACGAAACCTGTGTTGGAAAAGGACCTTGCTGCGCAGGCCCGCTTCCCCGCACACCTGCGGCCATCACCTGCCCCGGGGCGGCCTCACACCCTCAGCCGACCGTACACCTGCCGGGGCCGGGCAGGCTGCGTGCGACTCTCACCCCCTCCGGGACGCCCACTTCAGGTCACCTGTGGGTGCACATGGCACCCGCTCTGTGTCCCACCTGGCGACCCGCCCAGCGCCCTCTGACCCCAGCCCACCCATCAGCCTCCCTGGGCTCCCTGCACCCAACTCAGGCCCCGTGGCCTGACTGCCGTGACTGCCACCCCAGAGCCTCCATGTAGCCCCCAGGCCTTGTCCACGATGTCACCGAAGGACGCTGGGGACCCGCAGATCCGGCCGTGCCCAAGGGTATCCTTCGGGTGCCACGCAGACAGTCACTGGTCGCCTTGGTAACACAGAGCCCCTGGCAGACGAGGACGGGTGCAGGACAGCATCCCCACCAGAGATCCTGTGCCCGCCCTACACGGAGGCCTTCAAAGCCCTGCCCACGCTATGACCCCTGCTGCAGACCCCAGAGGGACGCCTGACCTCCCTCAGCTCTCGGCCCACAGCGGCCTGGTGAAGAGCCCCGTTGCCCCGAGTCCTCACTGCCTGCCACAGCCACAGCCTCCAGGAGGCCCGGCATGGCAGCCTCAAGGGTGAAGTCACGGGGTCAGCTGGGCCGAGGGGCTCAGGCACCAGCCAGACCACACCCTGTGAACACGCAGACCCCGGCAGGCCCCACAGGCCGAAGCCACTGAGGTCCCTCCCAGCCCCACACGAGAGAGGACAGAGGTTGCCAGGCCCTGACCGGGGTCCAACATGCAGGAGTGATGCTGTGGACAGGCACCTTGGAGACAACACAGGGACACCCAGGCTGGGCCCCAGGACCGAGGCAGGCACCCCAGAGTTACCAGCCCCCTGATAACTGGAGACAGCTCCAGGTGACCAAAAATGGAGGGGGGTGGGGTCCAGGTCTTTGCCGGGTGCTGGTCCAAGTGATCCTCAGGAAGTTTGAGGGAACAGAGTGGGAAGTGGCCAGTACTCTGAATATGCAAAGAACTTCCACAAATCAATAGGAAACCAGCCACCCAGCAGAGAAAGGGACAGAAACCATGAGCGTAGCTGCACTGGTAGCAACCCCCTGACAGCTGCTGGTGGAGAAAACATGCTGGGCTCACGGTTTTGGATGGTTCAGTCCGTGGTTGGCCCCAAGCACCCATCATGGTGACTGTGTGGCAAATCTCACACCTCAGGGCTGAGGTGCAGAAGAGAAGCACAGGAAGGAACCCGCCTTGAGTCCTCCAAGGGTGTGGCCCCAATAGCCAAAGGCCACCCATGAGGCCTCACCTCCTAAAGTAGCAACATGCTAGGGACCACTCCTCTGGAGTGTGGCCCTGGGGACGCTCCAGGGCTGAGCCCCAGCAGGCACATTGCGCCAGTACATGTCCAGGTGGTCCATAGGGAAAGACATCTGCCTGATCCGTCACCATGGAAATATAGGGACCCCTGCCTGCTAAAGCAGAGCCTGCAAGTCTGGGACCACCGAGGGGGCAGTGAGCAGGAGGAGCACAGTGCATCTCCAGCTGGAGAGCAAACTGTGATGGGGCTGGGACGGTGCGGCCTTGTCCCCGACAGCTGGCTCACCTGTGCTGCTTCACCCAGGGCCACAGCGACCACCTCTGTACAGGTGTGCCCACCCGCTCACCTGGACCTCTTGCCAGCCATGCCCCAGCCGAGGTCCAGGCCCACATGCCTGCTCGGCCTCTCCTTCTGGTCCCCCTTTCATCCCTTCAACATGCAGCTCCACCAGGGAGTCACACGCAAGGGGCGCTGGGGGGTCCGTCCCAGAGGTGCATCCACCTGAGGCCACGTCCCCTCCACGGGCCCACAGATGTGTGCAAAAGTTCACATCGGCGCGTGCATGCGGCCGTGTCCATAACACACGGGCAGGAGTGCCCCTAACACGAGCGGGAGAGACTGCAACACGTGTCTGAGGTGCTCCTAACACGCGTGCAGACTGCGGCAGCGGCCTCATTGGGCAGCGTGCAGTGCAGCCAGCCTGGAGTTCCGAATCCCAGATCGTGTCAGGACCGTCAGCGGCTGGCCCTGGTGTTGGGGCGTCCTTACAGGCAGAGCTGTAGCCCCAGAAGACTTGCTGACGTCCCCTCCCCTGTACCTGTACAGGTGACCTTCCTGGAAACGGGGCTGCTGCAGGTGTCACAGGGCTGCCCCCACCTCCAGGAGGAAGCGGGGCAGGGACACCGTGGGCATCTGCACACCTGCATCACATGGCCGGCCACCAGGCAGCACTGGACTGGGCGCACTCGGGCGGACCCTGCCCTGCCCCTCCTCAGAGCCCCGGCCGCCCCAGGCCTGACTCGGGCCCCTACTGAGGGCCCCGTCTGCTCGTAGCACCCAGCGAGCCACGAGGCCCTCACGCTTCAGGCTGGGCTGTGACCCTGCAGAGCTGACACTGACTCCTAACTGTCAGGTACGACTTCTGCCAACAGAGCCGGGATGCAGCTCAGCGGCACTGCGCCTGCCTGGTGAGCACAAAGTACTGAGTTCCCTCCCCGGTGCCACAAAAAAGGCTTATCAACAGGTGCTTGTGGTTTGTTGACTTTTAATACAAGTTTGAAGTGGAGTCCTCATAAATCAGCTCAGCCAGATGGGAAACCACGGTAAAGCCTTTAAGAGCGCAGAGCGAAAGCTCAGGCTCCCCGTGTCCGGGGCCCTCACGCTGAGCTGCGTCCCAGCCCGTTCTTTAGTTTTATTTTGAGACAGGCTGTGGCTCCAGCTTGCCACCCTCCTGCCTCAGCCCACCAGAGTGCTGGGATTACCTTCGTCCTCACCAAAAAGAGGCAGCTGGCGGTGAGGGCGGTGCAGACCCTGAGCTGCGTGGGCGCTGAGGACACCTCTGGCCACCACCTGAGCACCACACTCGGTGCCTTGTGCGCCCGGCTGCTGCTTTCTGTTCGTGTCCTCTGTGGGGTTGTGGGGCAGAAGCCCAGGTGCTTGGTGCCGCCAGGGGCGTGGACAGCTTCAGGGGGCAGCTGCTTTCTTCTCTCTGCAGTGGCGAGAGCAGCGGGCGGCACAGGGGCAGCGCACGGGTCCGGCAGCCCAAGTTTCCTTGCCCTCTCGCCTGCACCCGGGCCATCTGGAGCATTGGCGGTGGCTCCTGGGCCACGAGGGACTGGGCTGCTGCGCTGGGGCTGCCCAGCACTCTCTGGGGCTCACTGGCGCTCCCACTCCCGAGTGAACCCCACGAGTACCTTCTGACCCCGAGAACACAACTGCTAACAGCCTGCTGCTGACCGGAGCCCTACCTCTGACACAAACCACACGACGGGCATTCGATGCTGCCTGCATTCTGGGCGCGAAACGCACAAAGGGACCCGAGACCGCGCCCTTCCACAGGCACAACTGGCTGGGGCAGCAGCGGCTCCTGTGCCGTGGACGGGGAGAACTCGCGTCCACTCCCCGCAAGCTCGGTGCGAAGTCTGGGGTGCCTGCAGAGCGTGTCCCAGCGGCTGGCTCACGCATGTGGCCCACTGTGCGGTGCCCGGGCAGCGAGAGCCGACAGTGTAACCTGCACCTCCCCTCCTCACCTGCAAGTGGCTGCGGAATTTTAACTTTCCTAGCAGATCCATGTGTGTCAAAAGTAGACTGTTTCCTACGTAAATCTATGCGTTCATGACATGCTATCTTTTTCTTAATTTTCTCGGTATTTCTGGGGTACGTGGTTCTTCTAGCTTTTCAAATTGTGCAAATCTAACAAAAAACCCTCCGTGTTAGGAGGGCCCATGCTGTCCCCACTGTGCGGGCCAGCAGCCCCCTGGGGTGTGGAGCAACCAGGGCCACCCTGATGGGCATCTGGGGCTGAGGCTTCCCTGCAGGCCCTGCCCAGGCTCCACGTCCTCACTCTGGGCCCCTGTTCTCGCCAGGGCACATACTGTCCTCCCTCCCCACCACCCAGACCTCCCTAAGCCTCCTTCCGGCACCCGGCTCTGCTCAGCGTGGGCTCCTTGAACCACAGTCTGCCAGGCTCCCGGCAGCACCGTGTTGAAGATTTGCTGGAGCAGGGCCAGGCTGGTCAGCTCGCTGCTGGCCCGGACACGGCAGAGAGTGGCATTTTTTTCTTTTTAGGTTCACTAAATTTATTTTAAAAATCATAAAACACTTCTTACAAAAGAGCATTACATTCTGCACACTGCTCTGAACAGATGCTGGGGACACGTGGATGATTGTGACTTTCCTGCCTGTCCCACCCCCAAATGTTTACAGTGACCACACACAGAGCAAGGTGTTCACAATAATTACATGGGGGAATTTTTTTTTAAACCACCAACAATGAACAAAAATAAAATCCACTCACTCTGCTGTTTTAAAATTTCGATGTTAGTTTTTGCACGCCCTCCCCCCAACCCTGTTTGTAAGGAACTAAAACATTACATCTGGTGAACAGCAAAGATTTCACTACACCTCAAATGCAGAACACCTGTGAAGCAGAGGAATGTTGGCTTTTTAAACAGAAGCAGATAAAAAAAAAAAAGATGCAGGACTCCTTCAGTTCTTCACTCGTCTTAGAAAACTTTCCAGAATACTGCTTCACACTGTTCTGCAGCAAATACTGTGCATTCTGTATCTGGTCCTGTGTTCCTGTAATGGTAATGATCCGATCTTTGGATCCTTCTAAAGGCTCATCAATTTTGATCGAAGCTCCTGATTCATGACGGATTTGTTTAATCCGCTGACCACCTTTGCCAATGATAGATCCAGCCAGATCTTTGGGAATAGTTACTTGTGTAGTAATAATAGGTCCACCAAGATCACCAGATGAGCCACGACCCCCTGCATAGGAATAACCACATCCAGAGCCACCCTGTGGTTCATACGCCATCTGCCACTCTGATGGGCTCCATGCATCTATGGCAGAGTCCTGAGTTTCATCAGCACAGAAACCAACCATGCCATCATAGTGATCTCCAGGTCTTCCTCCTCTGTCA